TAGTTACAGAGATTTGAATCAATTAAATACTACTGGATTTATTCTGGTATAAACAAGACGGGAATACGTTCCAGTGGCTGCACTGTTGTGATATTTATCTCCAAAAGAAAATCCAAGTCAGATTTTAAAAATGACTGGAAGAGCATGACTGTGGGAGTTAAAATAATAGGCCTTGCAACAGAGCTGGCTAACAAACAGTTTTTCAAGTAAAAGTGCAGGTATATACAGTAGTGAGAATAGAGAGTCTTAACAGCATAGTATAAACAGAGATAGAAAGAAAAAAATTGAACTATTCTCCTAAAAAATAGTCCTTTCACTCAAGTAATAAATGAAGATACTCCTGATGAACTGACTTCCATTTTTAGTATTTTGGAGACATTAGTGTGAGGAGGTGACGTGTTATTTCTTTACATAATTGTTTCTATAAATGCCAATCCTAAAAGACTTAAGAAGGAAAGATTTAAGTGTCTCAGTAGATTATACTAAGTGGCTTAATTTTGTTTAATCGTCGTCTTGTTTGGAATGCTTCCTGTAGTAAACATACATATTCCCTGGGGAAGGCAATAGCAAATATTTACCTTACCTACTGGCTTGATATTTCTTCTTGTTAGACAGCAATCGTTAAGATATTTTAGTAGATATTACTGGAAGCTGGGCCTGAAGTATTCAGTTTTTTTCCTGTTGGATCCTAATCCTCTGTGTCTCTTTTGCAGGGTGGCATGTATGTTTTTCAACTCTTTGACTACTATGCAGCTAGTGGTGTATGCCTTTTGTGGGTTGCATTCTTTGAATGTATTGCTGTAGCCTGGGTTTATGGTAAGTGAGAATACTTTAATCTGATACCTTTTGATGAGTCAGTGGCAATCCTGTAATCAAACGTTTAATCAGCTGCCACCCCAGAATCTTCTTCCCGGCAACAGACACATGCCATTAATATAAATTTGCACTGACCTCTTGGAGACATCTGGGATGAAGCCAGCCTCCAGTGTTTTTCCACACAAAAATGAGTATTTTTCCATTGCTAATTAATAAAGGCACAATTAAGCATTTGCATGTGTTAAGATAAAGATGAGAGTTGAAAGTTTGGCCAGCCGTGAAAATTTCTGTCTCTCAGAAAATTTCCTTTCAGAGCTGCAATGTCTGCAAGGGGCAAATCAACGAAATAGAAACTACAAAAAGAAAGCTGACAGAAAAGTGTGTTCTGTCCTGTTATTTGTAGGCAGTGCTGAGTACCGAGGTCTGACAGCAGCCTCTGTAGCTGCCTGTGAGGGTAGCTGAGGAACGATCAGATGTTTGCTGCTTAGGACTGGTCATTTCCCTGATTCTTCATGTACTCTGTCTCCTTAGAAAAGCAAAACAAACAAAGTCTTCATTCTGCATTAGTCACAGTTCTGTAGAAGCAGGATGTACCCTTTGCTGTCCTGTCCTCCGCATGGTGATCCCTCTGGCAAGTTCAGGGAGAGCCTGGGGAGAGGAGTGGGTGCGTGATGGGGGCAGGAGTGATGAGCATTGCACTCCTGCATCCAAGTAATGAGGGGTATGTGGGGTTGGAGAGTCGCCCAACCTTTGAGCTTCTCAAGGAGAAAATCATCTTGAACTTCACAGCCATGGGAAGCATTTGAACAATGCACCTGACACCTTAATCTTCCCTTTAAATACCCCTTGGGGAGGGGCTAGGAAAGCAGCTGTAAGCCTACAGGCCTTAGGTGGCTTTTATGTGGCCGATTCTGATGAAAGTGCTCTCCATCCATTACAGGCGCTGATAATATTTATGATGCCATTGAGGATATGATTGGATACAGACCTGGTCCCTGGATGAAATGGAGCTGGATTGTGATCACACCAGTTCTCTGTGTGGTGAGTACTGACCTGTGCTGTCTCAAGTCTTCTGCATGGCAACTTTGAGCTGCCTCTTACTGTTTCTCTTCAAGTAAAGTCCATTGCATTTGGAGGCTAATTTGCAAAGAGCTGCTGGAAGTTTGAACATATCCCTCAAAGACACCATCTTCTCAGATGCTGGCTCTTAATGTGACAGCTCTCTGCTGTGCCTGCACAAATTGCAGTTGGGTACATTTGAGTGGAATTTTCATAGAACTGGCAAAATACTACATTCATGACACAGAAAACTTGCTTTCCAAAGAGCAGTCCCTACTTTTAAGTGGTAGGACTATTAGGCTACTTTAATGAAAACACATGAACAGTCTGAAGCAGGCACTCAGCTTGAAGTATTTCACTTGCTACAAAGAACATCCCAGTAAACACCTCACAATGTACAGCAAATACTTGAGCCCTGAAAAAGAACAGGCAGCATACTGCAGCTGTTCAGTAGCACTCCTTAACACTATTGTCAGAAAACAGTTTACCTATAAGCAGATGCTCTTTCAATCATTTAAATGGGAGAATAATTCTCCCTTTGGTTTAAGATACATATGATATGCATCAGCCACCTGTCACTCCCTGTCTTCCTTAGAGCCAGTGGTAGTACCAGAGCCCTATTGTTTTCAGCACTTTTTAAGCCTCACTTTGTTTTCCTTTCTCATCCACAGGGGTGCTTTATCTTTTCTTTGGCCAAGTACAAACCACTGACCTACAACAAGGTCTACACATACCCAGACTGGGCAATTGGCCTGGGCTGGGTTCTTGCCCTTTCCTCCATGATCTGCATCCCTATGGTGATGGTCATCCGCATCATACAGTCCGATGGGTCGCTCATTGAGGTAAGAGCAACCAGTTGTCTGTCTAGAGGAGAAAGGGAACTAACTTCCTGCCATTTTATACAAAATACAATGCTTGGAAAACTGCCATCTTGTCCAGGTAGGGCAAAGCTGGGTGCCTCCTCTGAAGTGAGTCCAAATAAGGCTGTTAAAGATCAGCTGCCCTTTGGGCAAACAGTAGAGACAGAACAAACACAAAGCCTTCTGTCCTCAGACAAACACCAGGTGATTTTTCTCTTCTCCAGCACACAGGGACAAGGAAGCACCGTCCTACAAATCACAGAGAAAAGGAGAGAGAGAGAGAGAGAGAGAGAGAGAGAGAGAGAGAGGCCTGGGTCAACCTTGGCTAAGAGCTCATTGAATTTCAGGGGAAGTTGGATCCACCTACGGATTGTGTGGCTCTCAGGCATGGCCTTCATGCTGGGGGTTTGAATGAAAGTCAAACACTCTTGCCATTGGGATTCACTTTTTAGCTTTAATTTTTTTTTTTATTATTATTCATAATGAATCAAATCAAAACACTGGATCCAGGTTACCCTGATCTCTGCAAAACTTTGGGTCAGATTCAGTCTTGACAGTGCAGATTCTCTTGGGTTTGGATTTGCAGGCACTCTCTGGACCTTTGCAGTTCAGCACAGGCACCCCTGGTCTCTCTTTGTTCCAACGGGAAGTTTTCAGAGACTGTACAAGCATGAAACTTAGCAGTTCTCTTCTAAGGTTTCAGATTAGTTTTGTTTTTGCCTAATGAGATGGCCTTAAATGCAGCCCAGGGTATTCTTGGAGGAGAAAGTGGGACACTTTGCATAGAGAATGGAATAAAAAAAGAACATTTCCCAGAGAACAAATGCTTGCATTTGTTTTCCTCCAAGTGTTAATGGTCTTTTTCAGCTGTGGCCAGAGCATTTTCATGAGTGTTTGTTTTCCTGCCTACATTGTCACCATTTATTGAGAGACAAGTCTAAAAGTAGCCAAAACACTCCACAAAGACCATGTTAGGAAAGGAAAGAGAGTAAACACTGGTCAGATGCCATTTAGTTCTTCCTTTGTGTACCGAGATGTAGGAGAGAAGTTGCCACTTGGCAATGAAAGGCTGGGCTAAAAAGCAGAGTTGTTCTAAATGAGGAAGGAGAACTCCAGAGTCTGAGCAGCAGCTGCAGCGCTCAATGCCCAGCGGGCAGGGTGCTGGGTAACCCTGGGAAGGGCCTCTCCTGCCCGACCTGCCTGCAGGAGTCTGGCTCTGCAGCTGAGCAGAACCTGCGGGTGGTGTCAGCAGCCTGGGCCCCCCTGTCCTTGCAGAGCCACGCTGCGTGCGCACGGCTCCCACGGCCACCCACCCCCGCCCTGGCTGCCACCCCCAGCCCACACGGGGCATCCTGGGGGAGGCGCCTGCTCTGCTGACGTGTGCTCCTCTTCTTCCTTTCAGAGGATAAAAGCAGTGGCTGCCCCCAAGGAAGTGAATCGGTGGTCCAAGGAGACGGAGAGTGGCACTCCCTTCTGCCCCAACGGCACTTCCAATGGCGGATTGATCAAGCCAACTCATATCATTGTGGAAACCATGATGTGAGCTCTCTCTGTGAGAGGATAAACCTGCTTTAACTGCCGTTTACTAACCATAGATTCTCATAGGACCAGGTTTACAGAGCTTTATATTTGCACTAGGATTTATTTTTATTTCTCACAGAGAAAGTTATTTTTTGTGTGTGTTTTTTTTTAAATATTTTGTAAGGTAATCACAGCAGATGTCTCTCTGTAGAGGGAGAACTTTCATATCAGACTAGACATATTACAGGAATTTACTATTATTGGGTTTTTTTAAATATATATATCTCTTTATCTCTAAATATTATACACCTTACCACTTGAATTGATTGTCTTGCCAGCAATACATTCAAGTCTCAGAAAGCAATTTTAGGTGCTGGTATGGGTGGGAGCAGGGTAACCTACAGAACACACAAAAGCAGCTCTGTTGAGAGATACAACTGAAAAAAAAAGATGCTGTTTGAAGAGAATTTTCGAAGGTGTAGTATTGCCACCCTCTGGTTCAGTTGTGGTAAACGCCAGGCGCCAGGGTCACGTCAGGGGAAGGGTACAGTTATGTTTAGCATGGTCCATGAATAACGACACAGCCGGGCAGCCGGAGCAGAGGCTTTGAAAGGGAGGCTGGGTGTGAAAAGCCTGGTGGCCATCCCTCCCAAGCATGGCACTGGGACGTGTCACACCAACAAGAGGACGACTTTAGGAAGGCATTTGCAGGATTGGGCATGCTTCACTCTTTTTTCTTTTTTTTTTTAAACTTTTTTTTTTTTTTAGGTTTGGTTTTGGTTTTGGTTTTTTACTTAAGTGGATTGATTGCCTGCTGTTTGTGCATGAGTGGAGTTGAGTACCTGCTCCTGAGTTTTCCAGCAAAGCATATTTTAGTGTGGAGGCACTGGTGTAAACTCGAATTCTGCAAACTGGGAGGGGCAACCTGTCCCCTGGGCTGCAAATGCTGAGGAGCTGAGAGGGGAGAAGCAGCACCTGCCCTATGGGTGCTTCAGATGGCTGCTTGCTCAGTTGTTTGCATGTTAATTATTGGACTTTGGGTTTTGGGCAGAAGAATAAAAGAATCCCTTCCGGACTCTGACTGTCCAAAGGTGAACACAAACTAGGTCATCCCCAACAGGAAGAACAAAACCCATTCACCTACCCCTGGTGTAACCAATGTTTATAACAGACACATTGTTAATAATAGTAGTAATGAAGATAATAATATCACTCAGCAAACAGGTGCTTTTCATCCATGTATCTCAAAAAATGCTTTGCCAAGCTCAGTAACCAGGATTTGCTTTATTTATTTATTTGGGGGGGAGGGGGAACAGGGGGTGTTCCTTACTGTTGGGGGAACAGAGAAAAGGACTAAGTCCCTTGTTACTACATAGCAGCAGTGGACCTAGGGCCCTGAGCTTCCTTGCCCATCACTGGATTAAACCCTTTTGGTTTTGTTTTTTTTTTTTTTAGAGGGGATAGAGAATGGAAGACATTTATGAAGCTTATGAATGTTATCTGCTGAAGAATCAGTGCTTTCAGGATTTTAAGTTAAAGCAAAGGGAACATGTAAGACTGAAACATCTTGTGTTGGGTCAGGAGGAATTGTGTACTGTTCCAGCTTAGACTGGGGAGTGAAAAGAAACCACTACAAGGAGTATAGGAATGGGGGGGGTTGCTTCATGTGGGTCAGGTGGATGTTTCCAAAGAAAACCCCTCTTACATAAATATGGGCAAAAGCTTTCTTCTTTTTTTTTTTTTTTTTTAAACAAAACTCAGTCTTGAGCAGGTTTTACTGGGAACAGGTTCTCTGGTGAAACAACCTTTTCTTGTGGGCATTGTATTAGAGGGAGAGGGGTTTTTTTCTTGTTATGATACCACAGTTAGGCTATTCAAAGGTATTTGGAGGAAATGCTTGATAAAAGCAGAGTTTATATTTATTTATTCTGCTGTCAGCTTAGTCTGTCAGAGCAGAGTTTGTCATTAAAACAGGAACACATCCAGTTCTTAACATTCCTATATAGTAGTTTTGTTTTATTTTTTCTTTTCCCATGGGCTAACTAGCTACAGCAGCACAGACACTTGTTGATTAGCTTGTTGGTTTTCCTGTAACAGAAAAGGGGTGACTTAAAACTAAGAGATGGACCAAAATAATTAAAGAAAAAAAAAAAAAAAAAAAAAAAAAAAAAAAAGACGAAAACATGGCTGCATCTATTGCTTCCAAAATTTTTCTATTTTGAATCTGTACACATTTTTACAGCAGATAGCTGAGTTGCAGCAACAAAACCAGCCATGGCAGAATTACTTTTGTTTTCTTGGTTGTTTTTTTGTTTTTTTTTTGGTTACTGTATTAGGAGAGTTATATGTGAAACTTTTCCACAGCTGGAGATGGCAACCTCCTGGGCCAGGGGCAGTAGGTATTTGAAGGTCACTGGGGGAATTCTGTGAGCTGGTGGGTATCATCAAATATGTGCAAAATTAAGAAACATTGCATATAGCTAATGTTGTTAAATTTTTAATCCTTTAACCATCAAAGACAAGGAAATATAATCAAAGATAGTTGTCTTAGTAGTCTTCAGCTTGGACTCTCATTTCTGAGTTATAGTGTCTGCAGTAAACAGGCATGCTTGCCAAGGTGAAGAGGAAGTAGCAGGTTGGGGGGGGGTGCTAAATTAATGGTTTCTGTGAGTGCAGATGAAACACTGATGCTTGATTTAGTTTTTTTATATATCTACATTGTCATACAATTACGTTTGAGATATAGTTTGCACATCACTTTTATACTTTAGAGCTGAGACAGGCTTTAGTTAGAGGGGGAAAAAAAATGGTTTGGCTCCATCAGAGATGTCTCTGGCGAGTCAGCTGGGGATTCAGCCATCTCCCACACGGTGGAGAGTGTCTTTGTGTGAAGAACCAGAGGGCTAATACTACACCTTTCGAAGTACAACTACTAGAGTCCTGGAACCCAGCCCCATTTGGATCTAAACTGTGCCATTCAAATCAGTCGCTTCCACGTACCAAGTGAAAATGTCTCGCACATATGCAAGAACCTCCTTGAAGCGTCCCCTGTCAGCTTCCTGGCCCTGCTGTGCCTTTGGCATGACCGCCAGGGAGGGCTGGGACTCACAAAGAGCTACAAAATTACTGTTTCTGGAAAACAGATCCCCACTCCCTCAGAAAAAAAAAAAATATTGATCAATTCTTCTTGTTTTATTTGGGGTTTGAGTTCCAGTGAGCACACTCATGTTTTTACAGTTTTGGGGGTTTTCCTAACACTTTTATCAGATTTCTGAACTTTTCTTGTTGATAGATGTGCATTCCAACATGATGATCTGCCAAATTTATTAAAAAATAATTTTTAAAAAAAGTCTGTGGTTTTTACCTATTTCTGACTGCAAATACAACTGATTTTTTTTTCCTAATTTACTTGTTTGAATATTTGTGACCTATTTTACCTGTTTTATGGAAATGAGGAACTCTGTATTAAAATTTCACAACTAGTTATAGATTAACTGATTTGGATCCAGGGAAAGGTTAGTGCAGTTTTGGCATGAGATATTTAGAACCAGAATAAACCACAATAGACCCCACACCTTTTCATATTTCATGTGTCTTTGTATTCATGAGTTCTTCTGGGCCTGAAACCGGCTGAGTTTCAGCAGTAGTTATTTCCAGCTGAACTGAAATCAAGAGAGAGTAGAAATGTAAAGGGGGGCATTTACCCCACAAGATTCTCCAGCCTGCTTCTTATTCTTCTCAATTTTCCAAACTTCTTCAGTTCACCTGTCACTAGTTATGATCTCTGTGAATGAGCATCTATTGTAAGGGACTTTACCAGTAGTCTGTATTTCAGTATTTAAACAGTATGATTCCATAAACAGAACTGGGTTTTATTGGTACTGTCCTCAGTTTCCTTCTCATCCATAGCTTTCCTTTTCATCTGGTCCAAACAGATCCGCACACTTACAAAAATCCTCTTTAAAGTGTAATAGGGCCACCATGGATTTGTTCTTGTGTTGTAAATGAAAATACAAAAGCCTAGCAGCTGCATTTGACATCTAGAACAATGCTGGTGGTCGCCCTGCAGCAAGCAGCCCAGCTCCTGGGAGTGGAGAGGAGTTAGGAATGGTCTG